GAGTTTATACATTTTCTGGACTGTCTGGCTGGTTGGACATTTCTATTTACTTCTTCACAGGTGAACAGGTCCACACCTATCCAATTACAAGAGTCCTTAACTATTTTTTGGTACACGTTTGACTTTTCTTACAAAATGATGAACTCATGGCCTTTTACGAATTACTTATTATTTTATTCTCACATTCACATCCATATTTTCTGGTAAGAACAGAATATTCCAAGATCCACTCTGATTTTTTTCTTACCCTAGACAAGGAATCAGCCACTGCATTCATTTCCTATCAATGCGGTAACTTAACTGGATCTACAGTCCTTCTGTCCTGTAAGGGAGTATTTACAGGTTTGGGGGATTAGGACATGCACCTAAAGGGAGGGTTTTCTACCTACCCCAGTCTGGACTCTGTCCCCTAAAGATTCACAGCTGTCACATGGAAAAGGCATTCACCTCATCCCAACATCACCAAGTGTCAACTCGTCACAACCCATCAAAGTAAAAATCTCACCTAAATCTCATCGGCTCCAGAGTCCTGGATCCCACGGTCCTACATCAGGGACGAACCGGTGGGAGCGGGTGTGAACCGTCCTAGGGCTGAACTCCTTATCTGTGGTTCTATAACAAGTCATCTGCTCCCCAAAATAAGAGGGTGGGCATAAGACACCAGTGAGAGACACTGCCGTTCAAAACAGGAGGCAATGGAAGGGAAAAGGGTGGGGCACTGGTCTCAACCAAGTAAGTCCAGCTGGGCAGTCTTAGGGCCTGAAAATACCCTTTGGGCTTGCCCTGCCTCCCTGGGAGCTAGCCATTCTTTCCCGCAAAGGGCAGCCTTGGTTTATGGCTGAGTACTTGGCAGAAGCCTGTTTCCTACCTGCAGAATTTGGGGAGTTTAGCAGCCTGCTTTCAATCTGTCCTCTCTGCCCTCACAGTCCAAGTTGGTACGGGTTCTGCTGGTGTAAAATTTTCAGCCTTGTGGCCTCCAGTGTATGTCAAGGGAACTGACTCCATTAGACAGGGGCTATCTCCACAGATCCCTGGATAACCCAATCTTTATTCCCAGCTTGTGCCGGGCTGGTTCAGGGGACCCATGAGCCACACCTAATCTCTTCAAAGAGCCATCTGTCTTTTTGGTCCTTCTGAGGCACTAGAAGGTTGCCACACCCTTGGCTTCTCCAGAGCACGCTTCCCTTGGTAGGGAATCTCCTAATTTTAGCATCTTTCACAGTGTGGATAGACTGAGAATTTCTCAAACGACTAAGTCCAGAGTCTCCCCTCTTCCCAGATTTCTCCCTTTGCTGTCGCATTTTACCATAAGCGTCGTAAGCCTGAAAATCCCCTCGTTAAATATCCAAGTTGACTGTATTCAAGTTCTGGTTCCCCGGTAACCATCGGGCACAACTGACTTCAGTTTCTACCACCGGATGAGGATTCTGCTTTCTTCCAGCTTCCAGTGACAGTCCTCACTTCCGTCTGCACCCTCACCGGCAGTGCTCATGGCCCTATTTCTCCTACTGGTCTGTTCATGAGGCATTCCCCCAGATGGTGGATTTCTCAGTGTCCTCCTCCTCCTGAGTCCTCACCAGCAGAGCCAGTAACATCTGCATTTCTGCTAACAGTCTGCACAAAGCATGCCAGATATTTTGTCCTCATAATTCTTCCGGCCTCGCCCATGGCCCAGTTCCAAAACCACTTCTCCATTTTCAGGTATTTGTTGCAGCAGCACTCCACTCCCAGGTACCAAAATCGGTACTAGTTTCAGATTGCTGCTGTAACAAACTGCCACAAGTTTAGTGGCTTAACACAATGATTTATTGTAATTCTGGAGCTCAGAAGTTTGAAACGCATCTTATGGGACTAGGGAAAAGTAGGGCTGCTTTTCCTCCTGGAGGCTCTAGGGGAGAATCCTTTCCTTTTCCTGCTCCTAGCGGCTGCCTTCTTTCCTTAGTTCGCGGCCACGTCACTCCAGCCTCTGCTTCTGTAGTCATCATTTCTGACTCTGAGCCTCCTCCTTATAAGGATCCTTGTGATGACATTGGGACCACTGCATAATCCAGTTAGTTTCAAGCTCCAGGAAGTCAGGCTTTCACTGGCTTTGACTCTGAAGGAAACTTACTGGTTCATCCAACTGAAGATTGAGCATGGGACCCAGGCAGAGCCTCTTTCCGCAACTCAATAACGTCACCAGATACTAAGGATTGTCTGCCCTTGGAGTCTGAAAGTGGCTGTCAGCCTGGGCGGGAACCCCCGCATCCTCACGATACTTCATTTCTGAGTTCAAGGCGGCGGCTGTTCCAGTCAGCAGAGAAGGGGAAAGGGCAAGGCACGTCCATGCTTTCCATGGCACACACCCCTCTCATCCCATTCCCGTGGGCCGCATTTACCTGCAGACCCATGCCTGCTGTCAGGGAGGCGGCACGATGGAGGCAGGGTGACCATGTGCCACCCAAACGTTTAAGGAGAAAACTTGTCATGGTTCATGCTTGAGATCCTGGTGTCTATTCAAGGACCTGTCTGTCCTGCCATTCTGAACCACACGTCAGCTGCTTCCCCCGCTGGCCTGGGCCTCCTGGCTGCAGCCTCAGTGCCCACCGCTGCCTAGGCCCCGGGCGGAGGAAGTCGCCAAGGCGCAGTCCCATGCGCGCGAAGGGAGGGCCGCCCTAGCCTGCGTTCCACGCCACAGCGCATCCACCGCTCACACCGTGCGGAAGGAGGCACCAGAACCTCTCCCCTGCCCTCCCGGCCCTTGTCCGAGGCCCTTCCGAGCCCAGCAGTGCGCCCAGCACACACCGACGGGCCGCCCCCTCTGGGCAGTGACACACCACCTCCCTCACCGGCCTCCTCTTTCCGGACCTTAGGTTTCTTATTTTAAGAGGGAGACCTCAAGCACTGGTCCAGCTCTGACGGACCCCGCCATTCCAGGGGGGGAGAAAAATCTCAGAAAAAGCACAGGCCCCGCGTAAACGCCCGGGAACCAGGAGGGAGTCAGCTCCTGCCCCTCGTCCAGGCAGGCGGCGAGAGGGCCCCGTCCAGCGGCCCGCCCACTCAGTGAGACGGGGACCAGGAGCT